ACGACCACTACTTACCCACCACTACCACCACCACTACCACTACCACTACCACTACCACTACCTATACCTACTACCTACTACCTACTACCTACTACCTACTACCTACTACCTACTACCTACTACCTACTTCTACTACTACTACTACTACTACTACTAGTAGTACTACTACTACTACTGCTACTACTACTGCTGCTACTACTACTACTACTACTACTACTACTGCAGAGCTGTCAACGGCGTGCCAAGCGAGTGACAAAAAACTACTACTACTACTACTACTACTACTACTACTACTACCACGACCACGATTAGGAACACGACGACTACTACTTATTAGCACTATCAGTGTCATTGTTTTATTATTGTTTCTGTGATAATTAGTATTCTCACCATTACTACGACCATCTACTACTATTACTGTTCTTCTTATTATTACTATATGATTCTCATATTATGCAGCATACACTACACAGAATGCTGCATACTCGGCAACTTCCGTCTAATATCTTAAAAATGGGCGAAGCTGCCATGAGAAAGCATTGAGAGCGCACAGACCAAAATTTAGCCGTATCTAGTCATCAGGACGTTGACTCCCATGGGCTAGGCAATCTGGAGCACCTCCCCCCAACATGATGGAGGGGTCAAGCGGCAAAGCAAGGTTCACATTTCTAAGTAAAGATGCATAGCACAACCGATAGCAAATCAACTCGTGGTAAATCCCTACGCCTTATGCTGGGTTCCTGGCTTTGAGGTGGTGGAATAGCCTCCGCTTCAGTCTCGCGGCGGGGCTGAGGTCATCATCCGCAGCAGCGCCGGCCCTGCTCGCGAGTTTGCACTTTGCGAGGTAGAGGTGTCGCGTGCTCAGATGTGTTTGCCGCGGATGTCATGGGCCTTGAAGATGTGTGTCGCTGGTTGTCACAGCATTGCATCGTGCGACACGCTCGAATGATGTCGAATGCGACAAAATGGATCGAACCCAGCCCCGATCGACTTACCTGTGAGGCAAGTGGCCCCTGTTCCTTGCGACTTGCTCTTGGACAAGGCCAGCATGCTAGGTTTAAGGTCTCTTAGGGTAAAGCCTGCCAGGTTCTGGTCATTTGTCATCCCAGAGCTGCCTTCTCCGTCTCGGAACCTGCTCCCGCCCAGGGCTGGACCATCCATGGCCGTGTTGTCCTGATCTTCCCTCCAGGCGAGGCAAGCCGAGCAAAGTGCGGTGCCATGCTTTTTGGGGAACAACTGTGCGGGCCCTTTTGCTGCCATTGACGTGAGGTTGGAGGACGCTGGCGAAGCATGCGAGAGAGCAGGTGGCAGCCTGGTGCCCAGATGTGCCCAGCATGCTCAGTTTCAGGGCAGCTTTCGCTTTCATGCCGTCGATGATAGGCCTTCATTTTTGGCCTGATTCTTCTTGTGCCTGCTCCGATGTTGGCTGTGACAGCCCCTGAGCCTTACGCTGCCTCTGAAGCGTAACAAGCCATGGCCTGGATGCTCCGACAGTGCTCCAGGAACACACTTGCGACCCGTGATCTTACTACATGCTTCATCACATTGCCAGACGTACAATTTTTGAAAGATAGATACGTTGACGCAGGTCATTGTAGGTCACATATCTTAATGGATGGGCTGGATTTAGATTTGTTGTCCGATACATAGGTGCGAGGTTGGATGGATAGATCGATGGCTGCCGATAGATGGACAAACAGAGAGGCGACGGCTGGATATGGACATGGATGGATGATGGATGGATGAATGGGTACGTGGGTAGGTACACCGATAGGAAGCGAAGCAGGCTTGGTTTTGCTGAGCCAATCATGAAAAAGGCGATGTTCCTTCAATTGCTGCAGCTTCACTTGTGGCCTCCGGGTGCACTGTTTCAGGAATCCTGTCCAGCTTTCCCCTTCCCCAAAAAACAGTCGGTGAAAGTTGGCACATTCTAGGTCCTGTTGCCTGTTGCCCACAAAAAAGGTTAGTTGACTCGGGGTGCCCCTGACATGTGTAGTTGGAAGGAAGTTAACATTCGGGTGGCGGCGGATGCGGGTGGGAAAAAAGTTTATGCATCTGCACATGGCATATGTGGGTCGGCATGGTCGCTCTCGAGGGAAAGGTCAGTTACTTTCCCTGTGGAAGTTTGCATTCGGTACTCTGACGGTCGACGCATTTCCAGGACCCTTCAGCAGCATCGGCGACGAGTTTTGCTGCTGTGGATTGCAGCTTGCTGGTGCTTGCTGGGCAGAGGCAGACATCGACATCCGCAGACTCGGCCACATCTTGCCCCTAGTCCCTAAAACGTGAGGCGGCGTCTTCCTCGCACCACCATCGCTGGGACCCAGCGCCGAGTCGAGCAACGCTCTCCGTGCAGCTGCGCCACTGGGAGCTCCTGGGCTCCGGATCTTCTCTATCAGGTCGTAGAAATATGTATGAACCACTATAACTAACCCCCACCCCCCGACTCCGGCAGTCAATGTGTCTGGTGCCCCACTCCTTAATGGTCGCGCACTCTACGGATCATGTTGGATTCAGATACACCTGATGGAGTTCCTGACGAGGACAGTTCCAATCGTGTGAACTCTGAGCAACTCTCCGCAAAGGCACTGTCAGTGGTGCTTGCCCCAGCCGCTGCGCATGCGGCGGAGGCGGAGGTTATTCGGAATCGGGAACTAGACATACATAGTAAAATCAGAGCTTGCTACCCAAAGCCCTGACCTTGAGCCCTGAAAGCAGTTCGCTGCAGCAGGGAGTCATGCGCATGTTGCGAATGCATTCATTGTTTTCGCTTGGCTTAACATGTCAAATGGCATACAACTTCTATGTGCAACTGGTTGTGTTACTTGTTTTCGTCGGTGCGTTTGTTTGCCTGTGTGCGTGTGTGTTTGGTTGATTGGTTGGTTGGTTGTTTTTGTTGTTTGTTTGTTTGTTTGGTTGGTTGGTTGTTTTTGTTTATTCGTTTGTTTGTTTGTGCGTTTGTTTGTTTGCTGGCTTATTCATTCGTTTTTAACACTCAGTCTTTGTATGTGTGTATATATATATTATCTTTGAGAGCGGTTGCTGTCCCCTTCCCTTACGTTATGGTGCATGGCCTTTCTGTTAGACATGGTTTTCTGCTACTGGTGTTATTTGTTTCATTTGTTCCATGTTTCGGGGTGGAAATCCGCCAAAGTCTCGCACGTTTTTGTTGCCCTCAAAATGCTCGACGCGTCAAAACCTCTCGGTCTTTTCTGCATGATTTCAGACTGCTAGGCGTCGCGTGGAGAGTGCCATCAAACCGCTCGAAGTGTCTAAAGTTTGACTCTAAAGGCTTACCAGGGCCGCCCAAGTATTTGGTCGCTATCATCGAACTACATATATAATCATCTATAGTCGGCTGTGGATCGCCCTGAGGTGGTGGAGGCGACCATCGACCCTCAGGATGCAATTGTGCAGGCGAGAGCTTGTGGGGACATCCTTCTAGTTTCGAGGGCCTAGATGGCAGATCGACACCAGATTCCTTACCCGTGGGGAAGACACGCCAGTGCAACAGGAATTGTAGAAAGCTTCTGTTCGTTCCCCATGCCTGCTGCATCGGTGCTCAGAAGAAGGAGTACTTCAAGTAGAGTAACGAGCAGCTACGATACTTTGACTGCTCGTCGTTAAAGAGAACAAGAAAGACAGGAAGCAGATGCGTTGGTGCAGGCCTTTGCGCTGACCTTTGTGTCTGAGATTGGGGACAAGACGTTCTTCATCGCCGCAATTTTGGCAGCCGGCAGCAGTGCCGCTGAGGGTTTGAGTCAGAAGGCAGAATGGGAGGGCGCACAAGTCATGGCTGGAACACCTCCCCGAAGTAGTTCTGGCGTTTGAATCGTTCGACTACACGATTCTTTCAGTAGTTCAGCGAGAGTTGACCGCTCCTTAATCGTTCTGCCGTTTTGCTCGCAGTCGCGCCAGGTTTTGACTTTCATTGGGGCCATCAGTGCTCTGGCCGTGATGACTGTGATTGCGGTGAGCATCGGCCAAGTATTCCACGCAGTACCCGATGCTGCAGGCGGTTTACCCTTAGATGACTATGCATCAATTCTTGCGATCCTTGGCTGCAGTTTGTGCGCATTGTTCTGCTTCATCCAGATGCTCGCAGCCCGCAGAAGCAGGCCAACGTGTAGACCCTAGTCAAGTTACGTCACGCCTGAGGTTTGGCTACTTCGGTGTGAAGCTCCTTCTGGATGCATCCACTATGGCCGATGACGGCAGCATCCTAGCAGAAGAGAAGGAGGAGGCAGAAGAGGCTGTCAACAGCTCACTCCCAGAGTGGGTGACCAAGCTGGCGATTCCCGCGCTAGTCGTGCAGGCAAGGCAGTTGGCATCTCTGCACAATGTCCTTGCCGATTGCTTCTATCCTCAGAACGCTTGTCAGGCCTTTATCCTGGTCTTTGCTGCGGAGGTAGGCGACCGCTCCTTCATCTCGGCTGCAGCCTTGAGCGCCCAGGGTGGTCCTGAAGGGGCTGCTGCCGTGTTTGTTGGTGCTATCGCCGCTCATGCCATCGCCACATTGCTTGCCGTCGCACTTGGCGACTTGATCAGCACCTACGTCTCCGAATCTTGGCTGATGTGACATCACTCTTCACTCCCGCATGATTGCCGGCTATGACTTTCAATGTTCTAGCACTCGAGCACCCGACATCTGTAATCAGCCAGAGCGATTGGACCCTCCACCTGCCGATCTCAGGAGAAGACGCTGACATATATAGGTGGTGGCCTTTTCCTCTTCTTCGCGGCGACATCAACCGCTAATGTGGTCGGCCCACTTAGCTGACCACCCTTGAAATACCTTAGACTAGTTTATGTGACTTGCTCCTAGGTGGGTGCGCCACAAAAAATCTCAGCGAGTAATAAGTAGCCAGAGCGACACCCTTACATCAGCTAACAGAGCAATGGCATCTGATCACGGAAGCACTACAAGTCCGTAAGGCACTTTCCCCGCCTCATAGTGATGATGTACCAGCAGCAGCAGTTTGAGGGATTCACTGCATGTTCATGCTGGTGGCATGGCCTAGCTGTGGGAGTCGTGTCGCATACGTGTCGCTGTGCCGTTCCAACTCGAAGTCCAACGCGTTTAGATCACCGGGCGTTGCTTCCAATTCTACCATGTCCGGGCTTCTTCTCAGTTGCTTTGTGTTGACTGTCGCGACACTTCCTGCAAGTTGCTCCCTCTGGACTTGTGGTGCCAGCAAGACGCAATGATGTATGAGTTTCCTGGATCAGTTTTCTTATTTTCCTGCGTCCCTTCGCATGACTGCCTTGATGGTTGTCCCTGGCAACCCTATACATGATGCCAAAGGCATCAGGAACTCCGCCGGTGAAGCTTTGCTAGCCACATGCAGCGAGGATTGATGCACAGTTATGCACCAGGAGTTCATGGCCAGTGCCGACCAAACAAGTACCGTCTTGAGGAAAAGGGACTGCCCGCTTCAAATCTGCCATTGATATGTGCACTAGCACGGGACACACATATGTATTTTTATGTGTGTGTATATATGATATATGTATTTAATATAGATACACAGACATATACAGACCCCTATTTACACCCCCCACCTACATACACCCACGTACGTGCATACATGCATCCATACATCACACAACCAAACATAATGTAGCATCATGTAAGCAAATCATGTAAACAAGTTGAGATGATGCTGTTGCGCAGTGTGTAGCAAAACTGGAGATAGCACACCCTAACATGAACTGGCGTGGCAGGCAACGTAACTTGGAGAATGCTGACCTGACCTGCCTACAGACATGCCCAAAGCGGGTAGCCATGGACATATTTCTACCATTTGCTACATAGAATACACACACACATACACACAGAGACACGCAGACACAGGCAGAGAGACAGGCAGGCAGGCGAGAAAGAGCCCGAGAGGCGGAGAGACCGAGAGACAGAGCCAGGCAGGCAGGCAGGCTGGTCACTTCTCAAAGAGAGTGAGAGTCGAACATCCTGTCCCAAAGCTTTGCCAAGGCTTCGTTGAAACTCGAAGCCGTCCAGGACGAGCTCTTTGTGTTGAGGCAGGCAGCTCCCCAAAGCCAAGCACTTCAAGCAAAGCCTCACACCGTCTCACATCGTTCCACCTGCAGCTATTGGACCAACAAGAGATCAACACAGTGGCCGACGGCTCAAGTTTTCTGGACCACATCCCCTGTTGGCGCCCCTGCTTCAGCTGGACTACCACCGGCTGAAGCATTGTCTGCCCCTGCCGCCGCAGCAGTAGTCGTCAGAGAGTGGAGGAGTTTATCTTGTGACAGGTTGGTTTGTGCCTGACCGAGACCTGTCCCTGCTAGCTCGCGCCCGGAGAGAAATCCGACCACAGTTGTGCCGTCTTGATGTCTGGGTTTCGGTGACAAGAGCATGCCTCCGCCTGTTCAGCTGGGCCTGTTCTAGCTGTTTGATCAAGCCTCCAACCCAGAGCTCAAGAGCAGGTCAGAGCTTCGCCAAAGCGCTGCAAGTTGGAGTATGAAAGCTGCAGAGTGAACCCAATTAGTTCACCCCAGGCCGCCACGCCAAGCCTCCCAGCCTCCATCGCCCCGCATCCTCGCAGCATGGCGTCTGCGAGGGAAGATAAAGCAAAGATGGCGAGTGCCGCCGCTTGACCGCCCTCGTGGTCCTTGCGACGGTAAGAGCAGAGTTCGCAGTGAAGTGCAGAGGCCTTGCGAAAACTCATGGCACTGAGCAAGTCGGGAAGCACCAAGTCCGGCTCTGACGCCACAGGCTTCTTTCTCCTTGTGTAGAGAACAGCGGGGGGGCAGGGAAAGGTTGGTGGGAAAGTGAGGAGTTTGGCTTGTGTGGGAGGCTCGCGAGAGCAGGCGAGTCTGGCCCTTCGTGAGCTTTGCCGTGGCTTAGTGCCAAAGTCAGGACGGAGCCTCGGATGCTTCCAGTCGGGTTACGGTAGGGCAGCCGGGATTGGCGGGAGGCGAGCAGGACATCAATGAGATGGATGCCAAGTTCCAGGCTCTCTTGGAGAAGATCCTGGCCCAGCGAGGCACTCCGCACCACTGCGCAGTCCCGAAAAATCCGAGTCCGAGCTTTGGAGTCGAGAGGAGAGCTGGTGCCGGCTCCGGCGGCTCCGGCGTCTCCGGCGGCTCCTGCCGTGAGCGCTGAGACTTGGCTTCCAGGGCTTTGGGGCCCAGCCTCCGAGGAACGCTGACAGCTGAGGAAGACCCCTTGGAGCTGGCAGAAAAGCTCGGCCCGGAGCCGGTGGAGGCAAAGAAGCCCGAGCCCCTCAGGCGCCGGCTGGTGCTCACTGAGGACAGCCATGCGCCCCGAAGGGCCCCGCTTCTGAAGGGCCACCGAAGGGACGTGTAGGCCTCTGTGCGAGTGCCTGTCGTCTGTCTTTTGAGTGGAAGGAGGGCGGAATGTTGGCCTCGGTGCGCGTCAAGGTCCTTGAGGCTTCAAAGGCGCTTGGGCGCCAGATGTGGTTCATTCTGTCCGTGTGTTCAGTGTTCATACATGTTGGCACCATTTCGCACCAGACACCGGCACATATAGCATGGAGATTCATGGAACCTCGTTTTGCGGTTGCTTGTGTCAACAATCTAAGAAGTCACGTTCGTTTTGAGTCCAGGCCTTGAGGGCCAAGGACAACATGGTCACTCAGCTGACGCAGAAGCTCAAGCAGTGTCGCAAAGAGGCAGCCGGGGAATTCGCACTGCAGATGCGGCTCCGCAGCCTAGCGATGCCTGGGGTCGTCTTTTCGTTCGCAGCCCTGAAGGTTTGGGACTTACAGTGTGAGGCAAACGCTGCGGACTTGAGGGCGAAGTGCTCAGATGTCCGTGTGAATGTGACGACGATCGGATACCCCGCCGGGAGCCATGTGCAGGGGTTGTGAAGCCCCCCTTGGCCTCTTGAAAGCGAGTCGTGAGGTTGCCCGCATCCTGCAGCAAAATTCAGAGAAGCTTCCCGAGAAGTACAGAAGGGAGTTCGAGGAGTTGAAGGAAAAAGAGGCCCATTTCTTTGCTTGCCTTGGCAGTCTCAGTTTCCACAGTCGTCTCGCGCTTGTGACCAAAACTACGGCTCTGACATTCAGTAGCTGAGCCCGAATGAAATGCCACGCGGCTCTCAAAACAGCGCGGAATCAAATCTGGAATGCAACGTAGTTAACGTACTGTTGTGACCCACGGCGAGGAGGAGTTGGCTGACGTGCTGGCAGTCGCCCGAGCGGAGGCACAGCGCTGGGCCTCCGTTCGGTGCTGAGAAATCTTGAAGCAAGCGCATCACGTTTTCGACTGGCGCCTTCTTCAAAGCCCAAGGTTGCTAAGCGGCAAGATGCCATGCTGCAGCAGGAGATTGCTTTTGCGGACGTCCTGACGACTTGTACTCAGCTGCAGACGAGATCGACTGAGCAGGAGCGTGAGGAACAGCGAGGAGCAGATGCCAAGAGCATTCTCATGAAGCACCCAGCAGGTGAAGTTTTCTGGATGCACCTTGGATGCATAGGCATAGATCGACGAAGCGCGCAAAACCGGTATCAAGCAGTAGCCGAAAGTAGGCCGAATACCGCTTGTCGTGTGTGGTCCGTGAACAGAGAAGCTGGCGAGGCCCGGTCCAGACAGCGACAGCGAGGACGATGCTGCTATGATGCAGGTGCGACGACGAGCAGAAGACGTCAACTTGGGAAGTAGTGACGAGGACGGGGATACAGGCTGGAGCCGATGCAGCGTTCCATGTTAAAACAAGGCGAAGGATCCTATCACTATCAGGGCGAGCTAGTTTAAGTTCGATTGAGCTGCGGCATGCCGACTCTTAACAGTAAGCATGCCAGCTAGTATATTGGTCATCAGCACATTCTCAGTATCGAGACCGGGCAGTAGTGAAATTCGGCATCCATGTCCATGACTGCAACTAGCAGCCACGGTGATCGTGACAAGAGTACTCGTGACTAGGCTATTCCCACCGAGTGCCTGGGACCGCGAGGTGCGCCAGCAGTCATGACAGTAAGCACTCGTTTTCGTGGCAATACCATCAACGCCGAATCCAAACCTTGCAACAGTAATGGAACTTGTCATGCCACTGGTAGCAAGCGTACCGACACGGATAACGCGTAATAGTCGTGTTGACAATCACTCTCCCTACCTGGGGGCTTGCCATGCAGGAGCCAAAAAAGCGTTTTGCAACCAGTTTCGCGCATGACGAGCCAAAATATGCGCATCATCGGCACCACCCCAGCACTACGACCACTGCCATCATCGCCGTCACCATCATCAGCATTTTGCTCCGCGCCTTCATACCACCATTCATCTTCAGGCCTCGTCATCAGACACGTCTTCCTGCTCCCCCCCTCCATCGTGATGATCATGATCACTCGCGTCGGCCTTTGATCGCGACAGCTGCGAAGGACTCCGACCGGCAGCCGACGCGAGCAGACCTCGCCAAAGCAAAGGCTCGGTTCGAGGCGGAGAGGCGTCTCGACGACTCCGACTCCTGTCTCAAAAGATTTGCAGAGCGTAAAGGTTTGGAGCTTTAGAGAACCCGATCCCAGCTTGATCCGTGTAGTCTAAGACTCCGTGGCAGCCACAAGGATTCTCCCAGCGATGATTCCATCGACGAAGTCCGCCCGATTCGAAGTGGGCTAGGACGGCCCATTAGTTTGGCACGGATCTTGATTTGTTGGTTTGCCAAACGCTGGCTGTGGCTAAAGGAATGCGCAGCTCGATTGCATTGTGGAGCGCTCTGATTCAGCTCGCAAGCAAACCACCGGACCCCCATCGAAGCCATAGAAGCCTGCGACAACGGACGGGTTGATGAAAGAAACAGATTTCACACGGCAGTGAGCTACTGCTTCCCCATGCTATCCCCATGGTCGATCTACCTCGCCTGGAATCTCCGTTGTCAAGGTGAGATCTGATGGATTGCAGCCTCGAGTGAATCGTTGCGAGGAGCTGTACGGGAAACAAAGCAAGACAAGGAGGAAACCACGAGCATCTCCACACCACCAGTGACTCAACTGCAATCAGGATACAGTGTTGAACGTAGAGAGATGGCGAGGAATCGCCGGAATGCGTAGAGGATCTTGTGCCTACGAGGCGACGAAGGCCGTTCCGCCCTTGCCTGGCTTGTCGAGCCTTCCGGGGGGGAGACCTGGCTACGATGATGTCGAAGAGGCCGCTGTCGGTCGCCTGAAAGAAGGCACGCATGCCGCCTCCAAAGCTGCTCAGGTCTACTCCGATGACTCGATATCTGAGGATATCCAGATGAGCTCTCGCAGCATGTGAGGGCAGAAGCGGCTCTCGTAGACATCCTTTGAAGAGAGTCCATGGCATAGGGGCTCGCGGCGGCAAGAGTTTCTCTACAGTATGCTGCACCGACATTTCCGCAAGTCACCAGTGTCTTAACATTCAGCCGCGAACCCGTGATCCCTCGTCAATGCGGCTTGTGACATGTGGCACGGCTGTTTGAAGGGACGTGACGGGCCTTTCATGTCGCATAACGAGTTGGATTGCGCATCGACATTCAAACGACATGTTCAGGACATAAGGTTGCAGTTACACTTTCCTTCCTGGCCCTGACAAAGAGTGCCCTTCAGTTTGTCCTGTCAAGCCACGAATGCCATGCTCCCATGCGATGCGACAGGCTATGTATCATGAGTCATGTTAAGATAATCTCTCTCTCTATATATATATATATATATCTGTACCATGTACATATACACGTATTTACATATATTTGCAAATACATATACATGTACACACATACGTACCTGCGCATGTATATATATATATATGTACATATGTACCAAAAACCATACTAACATATTACATAGTCACCGGCTGCTGCCATACTTGGCTCGCCTCTGTTGCAGCCGAACTTGACAGAGCCTATGTCTGCAGCGGATTTACCGGTAGCCGGTGAGGAAGCCGACCTCGCGTAGACGACCGCGTGACCGGAAGTGGCATTGGTGTTTGTCAATTGCTTGTGTGGGAGAAGATCTGGCTGTCGGTGCCGTGCCAGCGTTGGAGTGTGCCGAGCTGGGGGTCGTCTGAGCAAAGGCAGAGACACCCCAGAAGTCCCTGACAAACTCCCTGACAGGCAGCATGTGCCCCTTCCAGATGCCTGGAGGAGTTCGATACTGAGATCGAGGAGCGACGATTTGCAAATCCATGGGCTGCCAAGTCCCAGTCCTGCCGTATGCATGCTACGCAGAACTTCGCACCTTTGACCATACTCGGCCTTTGGAACCACGATGCGTGCACCTCAACCCGCAGATGAACGTACAACCTTCGAGCATGCTGTCTTGTAGCTGGAGGTTGCATGCTGAAGTCAAGCAGAACCGCAAGAGGATCCACAAGTAGACTTCTGTGTCCGAATGCTGAGTTGGAACGAGTAGCTGATGAATGCGCAGGGCTCCAAGCCGGATTCTTTGGCCTCGTGGCCTCAAACTCTGCTCGGTTGCGAGCTGCCAGGGTGCCTTGGGTCACTCCAAGGCCCGCATGTTCGAGGCGCATTGTGCTGACATCGAGCCTCTGGCTGATTCTTTTTAGGACTCTGTCGTAGGCCACTGTCATGATCTACAACGGCGGGCATCCGGATGTGGGAGGGTCGCAGATGACCACGCACTGGTGTCTCAACCTCATGGACTCCGTGCCACTGCAGTGACCTCGGAAAACCGGCGCAGGGGCTCTCTCCCCCGAGGTTTCTGTGCGCCTTCCTACTGTGCCGACGATGATGCAGCCATGGTGGCCTTCAGCTCAGAACGGGCTTCCGAAGTCGCTTGTGGCATGCAGAGACCGATCGTTGTTCCGGTGTAGAGACACATGGCCACAGGGTTCGCAAACACATCAAAGCAGGTGGATCAACCTGCAAATAGCGGGCATACAATGAGAACGGAGTGCGGGCCGTATCTTGGGAACAGCCCGGATGCCGGTTCGAATTAAGATGGTTATTTGATGTTATTTGGGTTCAGCCATGTTCTGGCCTGCGGTGGCTACGTTGCTCCTGGCTGCTGCTATAGGCACTCCGGGGGGAATCAGCGGGCACATTTGCTCTAACTTAGTTGTTTCACTGATAAGTCCTTCCATGGTTCGCAAGACAGCAAGGAGCAAAAGCAGGGTCAGTATGAACAACGACAGATATGCCCCAGTGCAGCCATGGCATGCCAGCACAATGCTTGCAGGCCTCCTTTCGTGGTCGCACAACAGCCTGAAGGAGAGCAATGATGTGACCGTGTCGCTTCGCCCGTAACAGTGCGCACGTGTCTATAATGTTGCGCAGGATCATCCTGGGCTGCTAGACGGCGCGACCTTAGCCAAAGCTGTGGAAGCCCGGCATACGGATTAATTAAAGTGCACTGGCAGAGTGCATCAGAGTTTGCGGAGATCCCCTGTCAAGGAAGCCGCTCGGCCGGGGAAGTTTCCTGCCTCCCAGCTACCATGTCATGCTCTACTGCGCTGGACGCCACAGCCAAGCACCAAGAGCAGATCGAGATGGCGCTCGAAAAGCTTGAAAGAGGATTTTCAAGCGCAGAAATGCACGACTAGCACGTCTGATTGTGAATGGCTGAGGTCCTTGGCCACAAGTGCCCCGTTGCTGCATGATGTGTGGGCCAAAGCTCGTGATGCGGAGCTGACCCGCTTCACGACTCTTGGCGGGAAAGAAAAGCACACGGCACAATGGCAACTGGATGGTGGAGTCTCAACTGGCTTGTAGAATTAAGTAAATGCCAGGTTCTCCAGGTGATTGATAACCGATTCCCGACACCACCTTTCGGCAAGGCACCAACAGAACGATCGGACGCAGCGAACACTGCCCTATCGAAGACTATTGCTGTTATCGAGGGCTATTGCTGTATTTTTGGAGGGAACACAGCTTGCGTCGCACTTGTGATTCCCAAGGTATTATGTGCCTGGACGGACACTGGGCCCGTTCCTTCGCGCCCAGTCGTCACCCACACCTCACCGAATCGTCGCAAATAAAAGCACCAAAGAGCTGTTTGAAGCGTGTGCTTCACGTGAGGAGGCGGGCATCATGGCTGCAGCGTAAGCTATCAGAACTATGCTGCAGAATTCAAGCTGGGCCGCGGCTTGTAGTTTCTATGCAGAGATGGCCAGGAGGTGTACTTCTATTCTGGCCTCGCTGAAGGCCCTCCTGTTGTGCTCTTCCCGAATGTTGAACGGGGAATTGCATCGGGCGCAGGTGCGGGCGGATTGATCCACGAAGACGTCCAAAATCTAGTGAGGAGCTTCTCCGATGCTGTGCGCGCAGTGGCAGCCAAAAGCCTTGAGGCACCCCATTGCAGGAACCACTGTTTCCAAGCAATTCCTACGAGTCATTGAACGGACGGCACGCCACATGACCCGCATCCGACACTCTTCGCATGCCTGAGAGGCGAAAGCAAACGTTTGGATCTCCTGTCCTTTAACTGGGGCATCTGCCCATTACGACATGGGTCACAACGTGGTGATTCAGATGCACCCCATCTGCACAAGCTGTCGGGGGATCTCTGTAGCTGGTTGATGATCGACGCCATCGCACGCCATCCATCTGAGATTCGGTGTTAAAGCCTTCGACTTGCCTCGAACTTAGCACACGAGGGATTAGTGAGGCTGAGTTACCCTTTCGGAGATGAGGGCCGCAGGGCCGTTGCGTGTAGATGTTTGCAGGTTGCCACCGTCTTCCTTGCAGACGCTGCCCATACCACCGACTGGACACCCCTATGCACCTGTGCCCGAACCAGTCCGCCTCCACACCCTGACGGGTTCATGACGCAGCTGTGCAGTGCTGTGCAGTCCAAGGCTCGCCAGGCGATGAACGACACAGGCACCAACTCCTGGCTGATCCAGTAATCGTCGGCTGGGCCGGTTTCGAAGGCATATAGCCAAAATCTGCAAGAATGCAGGATCCACGTTCTCAACTATCACGTTACAGCCTGGCGATGCGTGGCTCAACGGCAGGACAAGAGCTCGTGCTTGTGGCTGCAAACTATTTGCAAAGGCTGTACCTTCCTCCGCTGTGGGCACATCGCACGTCCTCTGGCGCAGAAGGCTTGGTTGTTGCAAGTCCACGATGCCTTTCGGTTCGGTTTGTAACGAAACCAACCGCTTATATGAACCGGATGCGGTTCACGACGGTTCGAGTCGCGCGGTTCGGTTTGGCGGTTCACGCGGTTATCCATTGGCTTTACTATTGAGGCCCCAGTTTAGTCTCTGCTTATTCCTTGAACCCGGGAAGGAGGGAGCTGTTTTATTCGCATATTGCTAGCGGCTAGGGAGCAAGGAGAGTTTATCATTCAGGCCGTCCAAAACGCATGCTGCTTGCGACAGGGAGTGAGGGGACGGAGTGTTTTCCAAGCCCCCAAGAAGCACTTTGCTGTGGCTGGGAGGGTTGAGACCCTAAACCCTAAACCCTAAACCCTGGCGAGGTTCCAAGTACAGGCTTGTCCCAGTTGTGAGTGCTGAAACCCTAAACCCTAAACCCTAAACCTAGGGTTGAGACCCTAAACCCTAAACCCTAAACCCTAAACCCTAAACCCTTCGTTCGGCCGGGATCCTGGGCTCCCCCGCGCGGCCGGCCGGTCGGACACGACGCGGGGGAGCCCAAATTTTCGGACGACTTCCTCGGTTCCATGTGGGTGGTCGTCAAAATTATGGTCCCTTTTTGGGTCCTTATTATAATACGGCACCTATTATTTAGGGGACCCCAAAAGGGACCCTAATTTAGACAACCACCCATGTGTTATGGGCATCATGTAGAGGTTTTGCAGAAGGGCAAGTTTGGAACCGTGCCTGCAGGTCCATCAATTTCGCTGAACGTCTTCGTAGGCCCCGTATCGTGCGCTGGATTTCGCTGGCCCCTTGACTTCAGCAGATTGGAGGCTCGAGAGCTGAAGACGTCTCAGAGCAGCTGTCGCAGCTTCCACTGCCCTTCGAGGACAGGACTCTGACGGGAGCTGCACACAGCATGCAAAGGCGGTGCAGAACTGGTGCATCTTGCTAGGCCGAGTGGCCGAACAGCACCATGCAGGCAGCAGTGGCCGTTTATTTGACCGCTTTCCTGGATGAGGCGAGGTGCTAATCGATGGGAGCAGTCGGCGAAGTGTGTTCCCAGAAGAGGCGCATGCAGTCATGTAGTCACCTTTCAGGCAGGTGTGGCCTTCGAGTTCTTGCAAAAGCGTTGGAGCCTGGTGGAGCTCAGAGAGGTTTGTGCCAGCTTTCGAGATCTCCAGACCTGGAGAAGCACGGCTTGACAGGAGCCGGACGAGACGAGTTGCGGATCCGCTCCAGAACGAGACCGTGTCCGACTGCGAGGGACCCTCTGTGGACACTGGATTCCCGTGCCCGCTTGGCATGTGTTGTGACCGCTTGCAGGGATGGGTTGGGCAACTAAGGAAAGATGCAGCATCTCGAGTCAAGGCCGTTGTAGTGGTCTTGCTTGGCATCTATATCTTCGAGGTTGCACGCGACGGATGCATATCAAGTCTTCAGGTGCTGCCAAAAGACCACCAATTGCCTGTCGTTCTGGACCCGACGGGTTTGTGTGCAGGGGTGAGGTCAGCTGTGCGGATTCAGCAACGGTTTATCCAGTTCATGCCTCAGAGATCTCGTTATAAGACTTTAAGAGTCGATACAATGGCCATACGCATCTTTGTCAGAGAGAGAGAGAGAGAGCAAGTGTTTGAAACCTCAGTTTTCATGTCTCCTCACTGCATGGTGAGCAGGAGACGAAACTATTGTATTTGGGCATTGGCCCAGGACCCAGCTCGGTCCAAGACTGGGACGACTCCAAGAACACCACAGAAGCCGCAGCACTCAACTGTGTACGTGCGGAACATCGACAGCGGAACCCCTGCACGCACTGCTCGATCACAAGCATGCCAAGGTTGGGGCAGCACAGCGTCGCACCTTTACTCGGAAAAAGGCGGAACAGACTGTGGATCTACCGAGTGCGGTAAGACTGAAACCTCTGTGGAGCCAAGAGGCTGAGAGCAGAAGCCACAGAACAGGCACTGCTCTTGAACGACTCACCGTTCAAGAGCCTCCTTCTCTAGACACACAAACGTTGGGTATGCCGTTGTGCTTGTAAGAAACTCCTTCAGGTGTTGCGTAAGTACGTAAGTCAGTATGTAGTAGTTGATGTACGTATGTATGTCTGTCTCCATGTATAATGTATGTATTTATGCATGTATGTGTGCATGGATGGACGGACGGGCGGATGTCAAAACTTGTATGGATTTGGTCCCTGAGTTTTACCTTGCTCTGAAGTGAGTGCGAGGTCGATGGTTGAAGTTTACGGTGCAAGCAATGAGGACTATGCTGACGATGTGATGATCGGTCTCCTAGATGCTTCTAGCATCCCCGGCTTTCTGCGCAAGCTGCTTGACTCGGTCCTGTCGGCTGAACGATGCTTGACTCTGTTCTTGGAATTCACACGTGTCGGATGTGCGCCAACAGCTGAGGTGCATGACGCCTGCCACCGACGACGGACTGCCTTCGAAAACCAGCCTCGCCAGGGTGTGCATGTCTTTTTGGAGCACAAGAGCACGATTTCTATCACACTCGTGGGCTTCCAAGATCCCTTTGGCCTTTGAGGTCACTCGGCTGGTGGCACGACACGGGCTGACTTGGGAGGCCTGCAGCTGCAGCTGGTTGGCAGAGTTTTTGACCCGGAGTCCAGCTCCACGTGTATCGCACTGTAGAGAACACAACTGAACAGCACCACCATGAAGGAATCCGCAGGACTCACTGACACTTGGTTCCATACATGACTCACGTGCACGGTTTGATCCCACACCCCGATGACCCCTTTAGCCTCTTGTTTCCGTCCATGCAGGCCTTGCAGCCGAATTCTGAGATCGAGCGCGACCCTTACCGTTGACAAGCGACCAGATTTCTTGCTGCGGTAGGTCATGCGAACACTGCTGCACAGGGTCGCCGTTAGACCTGAAGCAATACCGCCCTTGCCTAAATCACGCCTCGCTGGTTCTGCACTGCCGGAAGGCTGCGAAATGTCCGGGCTTTAGCAAGCTGCGGGCTAAGACCATGAGTCTCTGAAGCTAATCATTAATGGGAAGCCTGCAGCATGAAAGCAGCCTGCTGGATGTCAGACGTACAATGCAGCCTGTGCAGCTTGTCGTTGAGCCGTTCTGCTTCACCCGCCTATGCAAGCTTTAGCTGTTTCGTTTGCGCTGCAGCAACTCAGCTTCTGGATGCCAAACGGAATACTTCGGACACATTGCACGTAGCTACACGTGCTGGCTGGAAAAGCCGCCATGCAGAGGTCTCAACATCCTCATGCGTGGAAGGCAGCAACAGGTGAAGTAAGCAATGCAAACGCAAGTAGCTGAAGATCGCTAGTTGACTGGAAGACATGTCTCATGCCACTGTACCCAATAACATGCCAGCTGCAGCGGCATGATCAGCCATGGTGTGGAGTTTCTGAAGGCGCACCTGCAACCCGACCAAGCCGTGCAGGTGACCACCGACGATGAGTGGCTGAAGGGTGTGGTGCGGGAGCATCCAAACCTCGCATGGTCGTCAACCTGCGCCAGCTTGGTAGGTGCTGCAGGCTCTATGGCTTCATCTTGAAACCAGAAGCAAATAGACGCAAACTAGAACGGTGGCCCCTTGATTCCTTGATCTCTTTGCGAACCTGCAAAATTTAGGTCTTCTCGAAGCAGTTGACCTGAGAGATGACACGGCGAAGCTTCAAGCAGCGGTTCGCCTCTCCGACGGCTCAGTCCAGGACCTCAAGGTCGGACAAAGTACCAGTAGCCGAGCAGGGCAGGGTTTCGGTATTTTTCCAGTATTTTGGCCGTACTTTGGGGGCATCCGGGCATGGCCGTAGCAGGTCGTGCAGTGGCTCCCGTTGGATGCGCTGGCGGAGCTGCCAGAGTCTGAGGCCGTGGAGCTCCGCGCCGCCTTAGCCTTGGCCTCGGGGCCGACGGAGCCACGCGGCGGCGACAGCCGCGACAAACCGGCGGAGAGGGGCAGTTGCAGCTCCCCGCAAAGCCAAGAAGACCTGGAGTGGATCGCAGCGAGCGGGCACCAGCTTCCGCACCCAGGTCGCATTGTGGCGTTCTGAGCGGTCGTTAAGAGCTCGGTCTGCGGCCTTGCCAAAACCACTCAGGCTAGACGTTGTCATCGTGCGATTGGATGGCAGCTTGCCTCGATGGGCGCACGGTGTAGGCTTTTTTACATCCTTGCAGATGTGGGCCCCCGCAGCTCAGGGACGGAGTTTGTGAGATCTGTATCCTCGTTGGCGGACAGATTCGATGTCTTCAGAAAGTCTGTGGCTGTTTTCCTGCAGAAGGCCAGGTTGGCGCCATGCTACCATGAAAGCACGCTTTGCCGCCTAGAAGGGTTGTGCTTCTTAAGACAAACCTTTGTCACGTACCTCCGTCCTGCAGACCCCGTGTGCTGAGCAGAGCCCTTTCAGGACGCTTCTCAAGTGGACCTTTTGCTTGGAGAAACGGCCTTACCCAGAGTCGGAGCCTTCCGGTCAATTGCCGAGAGCCTCGCCCCCGGAATGAGTGACCCTGAAGCAAAGTCATCATTTTACTTTCTTTGCTGGTCTAGACGGTTGCTGGGAAAGTAATGCATCATCCACGCAGCCTGTCTAAGTTAAGGCGGGACGACTTTATTTCTCCGAGACTGAGCTAAGCTCGCAAAAGGGGTTTTGTGATGTCTTGTGGATGCAGCATGTGCTTTAGGAAAGGCTTGGGAAGGCTTTTCTAGGAAGCTGAGTTGCGCAGCTTAGCGTGTCACCTGTGGCCCCTAATCGCTCGAACCAGGGGGCCTCTTTGAGTCACTCGGATAGTGGGCACAAAAGATGGTGAGCCATGTTTCTTTAGACGATTTTTCGAACTGTCACTGAACCGCCCAAAGCCAGCACCACAGGCCCTGCAGACGACATCTGGATTCATCACAAGAGCTGAGATGTCGCATGCCTTGCAGCCCAGGACTTCAGCTACTCCTCTGTAGGCGAAAGCTCCATGCCGGAGCCGCCAAACGGCTGGCCAAGGAGCTGAGGGACTATCAGCAAGAGACGAGCAGCTTCCTCATTGAGCCAGTGGAGGATCGGAGGATTTGCTGGTAAATGCTCGTGTCTACTCTGTGAATATCTGGGATGTGCAAATAAAAAGTAAATTCTCTTCAGCTGCCGATGCACGCAGGATTTGGACTTTGATGGCCCGAGCGACAAGTGGAGTCTCGTCATGCGTGGCCCACATGAGAGTCCTTACAGTGGAGGGGTTTTCAAGCTGAGTGTGCAGTTCCCGCACGACTACCCCTTCAAACCACCGCGGATCAAATTCGCAACTCCCGTCTGGGCACCTGATGTGAATCCTCAAACTGGCGAAATCGACCTGGACATTCTGGGCCCTTCCTGGTCACCGGCACTTACCGTGCTCAGGGCCAGCTGCTCATTTGCCCGTGAGAGGAGGGCCGAACCGGGTGGGGTCTCCATGGATTCGGTCTGTGCTGTTTGCAGGTCGCGGTTAGCATCTCCAGCATCCTGGAGGCCCTTCGAAGACGGAAGCCTGTTTTTTGGCACCAGCCGTCCGTGTCTTGTCAGGCTCCCGGCAAGGACGGCTGCGGCAATCCCCAAGCATGGAAGCAGCGAGAAAGAAGCCTCTCTGAGTTCAACCAGCAGGCACAGCCAGCATGTCACTGTAGCACGTCCATGCACCGCTTCACTTGAGTGGCGGATGCAGGCTCAAGACTGGACCCGACGGTACGCGCGGGATGATGGGCCGCTGCGCTAGAGAAAAACAAAGTAGCCTTCAGGTTCGTTTGCCCAGCAAACACGCAGTTTCATGCTGAGAGCAGTCTGCTCCTTCTTCACTGCAGATTTTATTTTGAAGGCTGGGAAGATGTCAAACTCGACTTCTTGGTGGCCGGCTTCGCCCGCTCAGGGACTCATACGCTTCGCCAGACTCTGAGACTCCTGTCGATGAAAAGAAAGTCGTGCGTCTCTTGTTCATGTTGAGTTGTAAGCAGCGTGGTCTAGCACGTGCTGCGAAGGTGGAAATTTGATGGAGCATCCCGAGGCCAGGTGATCGCCGCGACCTGCTTTCTTCATGGCACGTAGCTCTGTAGATCTGTCTGGCAAGGTAAAATTTGCGGAGCAAGAGATGACGTTCAACTGGGCAGCCTTGCCTCAACAGTTGCAGGCCAGAGACTCGGAATGATTCGTATTGTGCCACAATTGCGTGGCAGGTGAGTGTGAGCTAAGCTATCTTGATTCTCCTCAGCTGCCTGCGTTCCAGGTGTGGCGCTACGCATCTTTCTTCAAAGATGAGGAAGAAGGACCAAGGCGTCCACTTGATAGCATGTGCTAATCGGTAAGCATCAACGCGGCATGCCTGCACTCACTTTCGAAGCCGAGCTACATGGCAAACTGAACCCCGGATAAACAGGTTCCCCCCCCCACACATACATACCTACCTACCTACC